GGCAGATGTGGTTCCTATATTCAAAAAGGGTTCAAAATCCTTGCCTGTAAATTATAGACCTTTAAGCTTAATTTCTGTGGCTGGGAAAATATTTGAAAGGTTATTAAGGGATAATATTCAAGAATTCCTTGAGAAGAACATGGTTATCAGCAAAAAATCTGCATGATTTTATGAAGCACAGGTCATGTCAAATGAACATGATTGAGTTCTACGAAGAAGAAAGTAGAAGTATAGATCAGGGTGTTGCAGTGGATGTGATCTATTTGGATTTTTTGTCAAGGCATTTGATACAGTTCCACACAATAGATTAGTGTTCAAACTCAAGAAAATCGGTCTAGATGAAAATGCTTGTTCTTGGGTAGAACATTGGCTTAAAAATAGAGTACAAAGAGTTGTCATTAATGGTAAATTTTCAAGCTGGACAAAGGAGGGTTCTGTTCTGGGACCCCTTCTATTTAACATCTTTATAAATGATCTTGAAAAAAGCATTGAAAGTCATGTTTCAGTGTTTGCAGATGACACAAAACTCTCTAAAGTAATACAATGCAAGCAAGATATTACTTTGCTGCAGAGGGATTGAGATAGACCGGGCACTCAAATGGAAGATGAAATTCAATGTTTAAAAATGCAAAGTTGTGCACTTCTGCATAAAAAATGCACAAGCAACGTATACCCTTAAGTAAGCGAATTAGGGATAACAACACACGAAAAGGACTTGGGGATTGTTATAGACAACAAACTACGCAACAATGTGCAATTTCAATCAGCAGTGACTAAGGCCAGTAAGGTATTGTCATGCATGAAAAAGGGCATTCATTCTCGGGATGAGAATATAATTTTGCCTCTTTATAAATCACTGGTAAGACCACATATGGAATATGCTGTGCAATTTTGGGCACCTGTTTAAAATTATGGTACTAGAAAAAGTGCAGAGGCGGTCTACAAAATTAATAAAAGGAATGGAATATATCAACTATGAAGAAAGATTAACAAATTTAAACCTCTTTAGTTTAGAAAAACTTCACCTGAGAGGGGATATGATAACATTATACAAATACATTCAGGGACAATACAAACCATTGTGTGAAAATCTATTCACAAACCAGACTTTACATAGGACACGGGGTCATGCGTTTAGACTGGAAGAAAGAAGATTTTGTCTAAGACAAAGGAAAGTTTTTTTTTACCGTAAGAACAATAAGGATGTGGAATTCTCTGCCTCTACAGATGTTCAAACAGCAACTAGATGCATACTTGTAAAAACAGAATATTCAAAGATAAAAAATTTCAATGTAGGGTAATAGCTGCTTGATGCAAGGATAAATCTGACTGCCATTCTGGGGTCAAGAAGGAATTTTTTTCCTAGTTTGTTTCAAAATTGGAAGTGTTTCAAACTGTTTTTTTTTGCCTTCTTTTGGATCAACAGCAACATACAAATGGGAGGAAGGCTGAACTTGGTGGACACAAGTCTATTTTCAGCTATGTAACTATGTAACTATGTAATATGAAAAGAAAAAGGAGAAGAACAATAATAAATAAATAACAGAAAGAAAAACATATAAATCAACAACATATCAATATAAAAATAAAATACAAATTACAAATGAAAGGATCAAGGAAAAAGAGAAATAAAAAAGAAAGGATAGAAGAGACAGATAAGAGAATGTACAAAAGTTAAATAAGTGATAGAACAAATGAGAATCAAAAATAAAAATTATAGAAATAAAGAAAAAGTTATAAGTAATAGAGGATGAAGGTACAAATAAATTGAAAATGTAAGAATATGTGAAGGTGAGCATATATACAAGAAAAAAGATAAAAGTAAAATAAAATAAAAATAAGAATAAAATAAATTCAGAAAATTACCGCAATTTTATTTTCCTGGATATATCCATGGCAGCATCACGATAGGGTTAGCTCCTCCCCCTTGGCTGTTTAGGACAGGAAACACTTTACAAATAGACCCTCCTTACCTGGTATCATCAGTCATGTAACACGCTCAAAGGATCTAAAAACATGGGAAGGGAAATTTTTTAGACGGTGCCATATATCCAGGAAAAGAAAATCATGGTAAGTATGAGGAAAGTTTCTGAATTCCTGGCTAATCCATGGCAGCATCACGATAGGGTAATACCCAAGCTCAACTCAGGGGAGGGGAATAAAACTAAGACAAACGTAATAATGTGTCAAAGAAATTCCTTATTTATTCAGAATCATGAAACTGAGGAAAGAACATTTCTTCCAAATTCAGTAGCCATTCTGGATCTCACATCCAAGGCATAATGCCTAATAAAGGTGTTGGAGGATGCCCATGTAGCTGCTCTGCAAATGCTTTCAATTGAAATGTTAGTAGCAGCTGCCCATGAAGTAGATAGAGATCTTGTAGAATGAGCCTTTAGTCCCGAAGGGACTTGTTTTTCTTGAGCCTGATATGCGGAGAAATGGCAGTAACAATCCAGCGGCTTAAAGTAGATTTAGATGCAGCGAAGCCTCTACAAAATCCTGGACAGGGCATCCGTGTTCAGAGCCCTGGGATGAAACATCCTTGAGAAAAACATTGGAAGTTGGGTGTTTTGGGCTGAAGCCATTAGATCCACTTCCGGCAACTGCCAATGCAAAACCAGTTGACAGAATATCTTGAGGTTCAATTGCCATTCCTTGGGATCCAGATAAGTCCTGCTGAGGAAGTCAGCTCTCAAGTTTTCTGGTCCTGGAATGGACAGACCCAATACATTTTTCTGGCCCCCAGCATAATGGGTTCCAGCTCCTGAAGAAGGTTCTGGCTTCTGGTACCTCCTTGTCTGTTTACATAGGAAACCGCCGTTCGATTGTCCATGCAAATCTTCACCCATTTTTCAATTAAAACATCTTGAAAGTGAGTCAGACCTAGGAAAACCACACACAGTTCTAGGAGGGTGGCTGGAATATGAGAGGCCCTGTTTATCCATTTGCCTTGGGCATTCCACATCCTAGACCACTGGTGTCCATAGTTAAAGATATCCAATTTATCTCCCCTAGAGGAAAACATATGTAGAGGTTTGCAGGTTCTCGCCACCAGTCCAAGGACTTCCGAAGAAATTCTGTAATGAATATCTTCTTGGACCAGTTGTCCTTGTCTTGGTTGAACCTTCTTTAAAAATACATCTGGGGGTAGCGCAGGTGCCACTGAGCCCACTTTACAAGGCCAATGGTTGATGTAAAATTGCCCAGCATGCTCATGAATACTTCGGCAGTGACCCATTTTGAGTTGATTACCTTCTGTGCCTTTGACATAACGCAATCTCTTCTTTCTATTGAAAGAAACACCATTGTTAGCTTTGTGTCGAACCATGCTCCTAGAAAGCATATACTCTGGGAAGGGGATAGCTGGCTCTTCTGGTAATTGATGATCCAAACTCTTCCAATATCCTTATTGCCCCGTCCCTTTGAACTATAAGTTTTGTTCTTGTTTCTTCTACAAGCAGAATGTCGTCCAGGTAATGATAAATATTAAGGCCCTGCAGTCTCATCATCGCTATCAGATCCAGAAGGACCTTTGAGCAGGTCATTGGAGCTGTACTTGGGCCGAATGGAACCGCTCTTAATTGAAAATGTTCTCCTAGAATTGCGAACCTCAGTGATGGTGATCTGCTATTGGGATGTGAAAATAGGCATCATTTAAATCTATCAAGATCATCCAGTCTACTGGGTGAATCACCAAGATTATAGATGACAAAGACTCCATTCTGAACCTTGGGACGTTGCGAGATAGATTCAGATTGTGGAGATCTAGGATTGGACGCCAATCTCCTGAAGGTTTTGGGACCAGGAAAAGATTTGAATAGATGCCTCGAAATCTCTCTTGATGAGTAACTCTTGAGATCACACCGCCTTGAAGAAGATTGGAAATGTCTCTGATGAAAGCCTTCCTTTTCTTTGGAAGACCTGGAGTTTTCAAAGTCTTGAACACATTGAGACAGGGAAATTCTTGGAATTCCAGTCTATACCCTTCTTTGAGAACAGAAACCACCCATGGATCCAGACTTGCTTGAACCCAGGTTCCCCAAAAGAGGTGGAGGTGTGCTCCTACCCCTGAGACCTGGAGAAGGATCTGTTTGCAGTTCTTGCACCAGCTGATGATCTACCTCTGGTACCCCTTCCAGACTGGCCTCCTCTCCAATTTAATCCTCTGGCAAATTCTCTTCTAGGTTTATATGACCTTGATTCCCAAAAGGAAGGTCTATCATGAAAGAATCTCCTGTCTTGCCAATTCTGGGAAACCCTTTTACCTCTACGAAATTGAGTAAGAAATACCTTCTTGCCTTCAGCTGCATGTTTAATGGTCTCCTCCAATTGTTTGCCAAACAATAATTGCTCTTGGAATGGGATACTACATAAATTATTTTTTGAGAATAAATCAGCATTCCAGGATTTCAACCAGAGTGCTCTACTTGCTTATACAGATAAGGCCATGTTCCTGGCTAGAGATCTAACTATATCCAGAGAGGCAAATAAGACAAATTCAGTTGCCCATTTAATCTTGGATAAAGATTGCAATAAAGATGGTCTACTTACACCCTTCTCAATATTATCCTCCAAAAGGCATAGCCATTTCATAAGGGCTTTAGCTACTGAGGTCATAGCAACTGCTGGTCTGCAGACCACTCCAGCTGAAACATAATTCTTACATAGGCTATTATCAATTCATGGCATCTTTAAAATATGCTACCTCCTTCAGAGGCAGAGCTGTGTTTCTCCCCTATCTAATAATAGCTGCATCAAACTTAGGTGCATTATCCCAAGCTGCAGATTCTTCTTCAGAAAAGGGATACAGTTTTGACATTTTCCCTAGAGCCGAAATCCTCTTTTGGGGTCTTTTCCATTCATTCACAAACAATTCTTTAATTGCTTCATGGATTGGAAAGGAAGGCCTCTTTTTTCCTAGTTCTTGAAAGATACTTGAAGAGGATGGCTTAGAAATGTCTGATCTTCAAGCTTCAGGCTATATCTAACAGCCTTTATCAGTTCTCAATGGTCTTGATATCCTTATGTTGCTCCACCGAGTCTGAGTCTTCTGAGGAATACACTCCTTTACCTACTTCAGATTGTACTTCTACAAATGATCCATCAGAATCAAAATCTTCCCTGTCTCTTTGAGAAGAGATTCTTCCGCGTTTATGAGCTATGTGCTGTTCCATAGATTTATCCATAGCCATCTGAATCCAGTTAATCATATCTGGAGAAGGTTCCTTAGGAGAAACAGCTGCTTCAGACAGACAAAAACTACATATTTTTTTTCCTTCCAAAGCTTTAGCATCACAGGCTATACATCAGTCAGATTTATGAGACTTCTTTCCTCCACCCGATCTCTCAGATGTGTCAAATTCACGGACACTGAAAGAAGCGGAAAGAAGAGGACTTGAAGTAGCCAATAAATGCACTCTTTTAATTACCAACAAGAGAAAATCCAAGTTTACCTTGAATGCCTAGAAGGAGACCCCGTTGAAGATCTAGACACTGACATAAGGGCAGCTAGATTGAAAGAAAGAAAAACCGTCAAGAATAAAAATTTTAAGAAATGTATACACCCTTAAAGAAGAGGAAAGTAGAAAAAGGGAGAAAAAAAAACTTACCTGCACTAACAGGAATAATTGCCAGAGCAAATGGACATCAATCACTCCAAAGGAGTCGAGAAGAACTGTATCTTTAAATAGAAAACCTCATAAGACAGGAGCACACACAGACAACCATTCAAATGTGCATGCTCATATAGACGAAATTTGCACCGATATGAAAAGTGAAATCAAACATTGAAATATGAAAAGAAAATGAACGGACCTTTCATACCATAAAAGGAATGACGAATGGAAATTCATACGAACACTAATCGTCATGACTTGACGAACAGGACCAGAGCACATAAAAAGGGAACGCCGAGCAAAATGGTGAAATGGCATGAAACTACCAAACAAAAAGGTGAGTGCAAGAACTATAGGCAATGCCGTTAAGGAGGTCCCCCATAAAAAATAATTATTTGTAGAGTAATGTATATTTCCAAATTGTTTGCAGGTACTATTATTATACCGCTACCCAAAGGATCACTGTGGCTAATATAAAATACTAAACATATATATATGTACACTGCAATTATACTGCTACCCGTAGGATCATTGCAGATTTAATTCATATGAAGTATGTGTATATACCATGCACCGCTACCCATAGGATTGCTGCGGCAATAAGCTGAATGAGATAATGCATGTGTCACACATAATAACCGCTACCCAGAGGATCGCTGTGGAATTATCATAGTTAAAAAGTGTATACATCACACACCGCTACCCATAGGATCACTGTGGTAATGTTTTAACCCCTTAATGACTTTGCGGCGTTCTATGCCGTCCTACATTAAATAAGCTTTAAAGCCGCTGCGGTGGCATAGAACGCCGTAACGACTTTTAGCTCCAGGAGCTCGGCGTTACTCATCACCGCCGCGATCCTCTTCGTTTGGACTGCCTGATAGCCCAGGCAGCCCTCCCCTGGCAAATCAGGCCCCTGGAGGCCATGTGATCGCTCTCAAAGAGCGATCACATGGCCCCCTATAGCTGGCTGTGGATATGCCAGCAGGGGGACTGTCTGAAATGTCTGACAGTCCCCTTGCTGGTGGGAAGTATAAAATAAATAATTAAACATGTTTAACCCCTTAAGGACACATGACATGTGTGACATGTCATGATTCTCTTTTATTCCAGAAGTTTGGTCCTTAAGGTGTTAAAATAAATTACAAGTATTTATAGCCATCGACCATATCCCCCCGCTTTCCAGAGGGGGCGATCGTTCCAAGATCTTACTTCAGCGTGAAGCTTATTGGATTAAAACATTGGACACACTACATCCAAAGGGCCTCAACGAATATGTTTCTTTCCATGCTTTCCTGGACACACGTTAATTTTATTTTTAGAGTTCATGTCCAGCCCTTGCCCTTGCTTGCTATGATCTTTCTGCCCTCTTTTTTACTGTGTAAAGATTTCAGTAGCTATTCCTGTCATTCATTTGTTTAGGTTCTATACTGTTCTTATTAACATTTTTTGTTGGTGTATCCATTATGTATACCATTGATTGATACAGTACTGTATATATGTATATATTCTTTGTGCCAATTTGTATATATGCATTCACCTATAGTCCCCATTTCTCTATTCTGATTTTGCCTCACATGCCCTGTCTCCTCTTGTCTCGGGTCTAGTTCCACATTTTTTTGTCACTTTGTTGTATATTGTTTTTGTATCACTTTTTCTGTTATTCACCATTGTTTCTTCCCTCTTATTTCTTTTTTTTCATATTATTTATTTACTTTTTACAGTCAGGTTTTCATCTTTTCTTTCTCACTCTCTTCTTACTGCTTTACTATTTAGGTTTGTGTACATTTATCACTCAGCACATCTCTTTCTCTGGAGGTCTTTGTTTTCTGCATCCTGGATTATTTGGTGATGTAGCAATGCATGCTTATATTAGTGTATACTCTGGTCACCACTCTTATCTGTTTTATATACTCTTCCTACTTGTTCTATTTTATTCACATCACGCACAATCACTCACTTTAGGTTTCTATGGTAACTAGACGCTTCTTCACAACCTTTTCCGGTCATCACTCAGTTACGGAACCTACACGTTACAATCGAATCATCTTATAGCGTTCACACATGGCTTTGGGGCTGCACATCTATCCCAGGGTAAGTGATTACCTCTTAATTATCTTTGTTATAAATGTCACTGTCACCGATAAAATTTACTAAACAAGTCCTCTGGAGTGCTCTTCTTATCATTTTTCTATTATATATAATATATATACATTATATATATATATATATATATATATATATGTAACGTCATACGTAGTGTATTTTAATGTTAATACAATTACATATATTAGTATTAAAATACACTTAGAATGACATTACATATATACAAGTGTTTGTGACTAAGTGGCTACTAAAAAAGACTGGACATACCCCACGTGCAATACCTTGGGTTGTCTACATTTGTAAATGGTATGCCATCATGGTGGTAATTCTCATTTCTGGGCTACCACACGGTCTCAAAGGTAACATTACTAATCTGGCAAATTTCTATTTGAAAAAACTGAAAAATGGAATGTGCTATATTTGACCCTGTAACTTTCCAAAACACTGTAAAAACTGTTAATGGGGGGTACTGTTGTACTCGTGAGACTTTGCTGAATCCAAATATGTGGTTTGTTTTGCAGTTAACGCTAACAGTTAATTGTCAATTATGACATTTACAGCTAAAATGTCCACATATTTTTTCTAAAATCTTAATTTCTCACAGTTTTTTTTATTTTACTCATAATAAATTATGTTTCAAATATGAATAGTTCATTTGAAATTAAAGCCCAGTTTCTCCTGAACAAAATGATATATAATAAGTGTGGGTGCACTTAATATGAAAGAGGTGAATTACGGTTGAACAGACATATAGCGCAAATTTCAGTTTTTGTTTACATTTTGTTTTGATCAGAACGTGTAGTATTGACTCCGTCCTGAAGGGGTTAATGCATGAGTCACACATAAATAACCACTACCCTTGGGATCACAGCGGATACAGTTTGGCATCCCAATATACCCCTTATATTACCATTATTAAAAGATTACTGCAGAATTCTTCAAATAGTAAGGATATATGGCTTTATATATTCTGTCACATTAAAATGTTCACAGATATTAGAATTTTCAGGAGAGAGAGAGGCTGAACTCTCCTGGGAAAGAGGAGGTAAACTAAAACAAAATCTAGTAAAGGTAACGCAAATTTACCTGAACCATGTACACAGCCAAGAGGACAGGAAAAAGGACTGATGATACCAGGTAGGGAGGGTCTATTCGTAAAGTGTTTCCTGTCATAAACAGCGAAGGGGGAGGAGCTAACCCTATCATGATGCTGCCATGGATTAGACAGAAATATAAAAATAAAAATACTTAAAAATAAACAAATATAAGTATGAAGTAGCTAGATGTATATAGCTAAAGATAGTAATCCTATGGAGGGACTATACCTACATCTGTGGGCATGTGCAGTATAATGGAATAAACTGGGAAATGTAAAAATATTAAAAATATATTAAAATATATCAAAAATGAATATGTATAAAAATATATGTTAAAATACATTATAATTCTAGAAATGTGAAAAATGGGATAAACAATAATACTAATAAAAGGCACCAGCCTAAAAATATAAACACCAAAATAAAAAGGAATAAATACAAATGAGAATACAAAAGAGAAAAGTAAATATGATTTGTACATCTAAATTGATCATTTCAGCTAATTAAAGGTGTCTTATAAAAAGGTGTTGAGTTCGAAATCTATGTTAAGACCTCTGGGGCTAGAGTATTTAGAGTGAAGATCCATCTAGCTTCTGCTTTGTCTCCATTTTTCTCTAGATATCCCTCTCTCCAATGTACATCGACTTTTTCAATAGGTAAAAACTGTAGTCCAACTGTATCTCTTCCATGGACATCATTAAAATGTTTTGACAAATTGTGCGTTCGTAGGCCTTTTTTAATATTCCCTACGTGTTCTGACACTCTTATTTTCAAAGATCTTTTAATTCTTCCCACATATTGTTTCGGACAAGGGATGTGAGTAGATAAATTATACCTGTTGTATTACAATCCATATTGGATTTCACTCTATATCCTTTCTGTTTATCCAGCAAGAAGAATTTGTTGTTAGTGATTTCTAGACTAGAATTGTTTCTGCATCCTATACATTTTTTTATCACGTAAAACCTTTAGTTGGTGTCATTGTAGTGTCTTGGAAATGAGTTTTAGATTTATCAGTAGGTGCCAACATGAGTTTCAGCTTAGGTGGTTGGGAGACGATGATAGTGGATTGTTCGTCCAAAAACTGATTGAGTATAGGGTCACTCTTTAGCATATACCAATGTTTTGCTAAAACTTTCCTAATAGTTTGGGATTGGTTGCTATATTTCATTATGAAGACAGGAGCTCTCTTTTATTCCTCCAATTGTGTTCCCTTATTGCAAACAGTGTCTTTGCTTGGGATAGATAAGGCTTTATTCATTGCTTTTTCCAAGAGTGGTTCAGAATATACTTTCACTGGAAATCTCTGTTTCGTTTCTTTCATCTTAATCTGACAAATTTCCATTTCTGAGTTTTTCCTCCTTATCCTTCTGA